AACACCGTTATTCGTTATTCGTTGAGTACTTGCGCCATGGCCACTCGCGGCACGAGAGACTCACAACCTCAAGAACCATCGCGACTTGATACCTCAGTAACACTGCAGGATAGCCATGAGGTGCCATCCTGGTACGCGCATAACTCGTTCATCCTTACGGGCTACCGGCCCGTCACGAAATCCATCCCCCTCTGCCTCCGCAGCCTACTCCAACTGCATAACGAAACAGTAAACATCTACACGCACCTCATCCCCGGCATCTTCGTCCTGCTAGCCAGCTACTCCTTCGATCGTTACTTCACCACGCGTTTTCCACAAGCGACCTGGACCGATCAACTCGTTTTCCGCATCTTTCTTACCGCCTCCGTAATCTGCTTCGGGACTTCCGCAGCGTATCACACGCTGATATGCCATTCGGAGGGGTATGCAAGTCTGTGGGTCAAAGCGGATTATGTCGCAATCATCGGGCAGATTGTAGGATCATTTATACCTGGCATTTATTTTGGATTCTACTGCGAACCGGGGTTGCAGAAATTGTATTGGTCTATGGTATGTTTTGGGGGAAACGAAGATGGTAATAGGATGATGTGTGACTGAACTGACATCTCCAGATCATTACCCTTGGAACATTGACGGCGACCACGGTCATCAACCCCAGTCTTCACGGCCCGAGATGGAAGATCTTACGCTTATCAACATTCATCGCAACGGGCTTCTCGGCGTTTGCGCCGATCTTGCATGGCGTTTCAATTTTTGGCCATGAACAGCTTGACAAACAGACTGGTTTACGGTATTATTACCTCGAGGGTATCTTGATACTAATTGGGGTTGGATTCTATGCGGTAAGGCTAGCATGTTCATCGATACGTCCTTTTTCTCAAGACCGAACCTTCGTTGACTGGTACAATAGACTCACTTCCCAGAATCTTGGAGACCAAAGAGATACGATATCTGGGGGGCATCGCATCAGCTGTTCCACGTGTTTATTGTTCTGAGCGCTGTCGCTCATTGGTACGGTATCATGAGCGCTATGGAGTGGAACTACGTAAACCAGCGCTGTCAGTGGACTTAGAGATCTACTCGCTAGACTATGCGCATCTTCAAACCCCTTCTCTTACCTTCAACTCACATACCACCCTATCACAGCCGCGTTATACTAGACTACCCAACTCGACATCCCACCGTTAGAAAAGAAGAGCAAAAAAAAAAGAATAGACACAGCAAGACTTGAACTTGCATTCCCCGCATCACGCCTCCAGCGAACTGATTCCTTTTCACGAGATTCCTTGTTGCCGACACACCCGACTGATTCCTTAAGTCATTGATTCCTTGAAGCCACTGGTTCCTTGAAGTCATTGATTCCTTGAAGTTGAGCTGGGTGACGCTAGGCCATTGTGTGCGGGCGCCTTACCATTAGGCCATGTGTCCTGTGTGGGTTTGATGAGAGAATGAGGAAATATCGGGTATGTTTAGGGAAACAGTAGAGAGGGTGAGAGAAATGCTGTTGTAAAGTATTGAGAATGTTGGCCTTCCAAGTCGTTTCTATAGTTACCAATACACGATGCATCTTTATTCTCGAAATGTATGCACACCCTCTTGATAGCCATCGTCAACCAGTCACCACATACTTCTAGCCATCAAAATCAACAAAAAGAACCCCGATCCGAACACAGTAAGACTCGAACTTACATATCCCGCTCCACCAACCGCCCAGCAGGACCAATTCGCCAGCGTTTCCGCCAACTCACCTTACCCACCAGGATGTGCATCACGAAATAGCCCAGCAAGCTCAGTTCCAACGGTAGCGACCCATTTAACCTTATCCCGCCAGGCTGCTCGCACGCCCAACAACCAGCCTTCTTTGTTATATTCAATGGAGATAGAACCCCTAGGGTTGCCCCCAGTCGGCCCTTTACTCCCGGGGACGAGAAAGCTGGTGCTTGATCAGAGCTAGAACCAGCGCCCGTGCCGGAACTACGTTGGGCGTGCGTTCGCTAGGTTCTTGTGTTGCGGGTGCTGTACCGACTAGCCATGTGTCCTGTGTGGGTTGTTGATGAGGTGACGAGGGGATGGTGGATATATGTGAGGGAAGAGTGGGATAGGGTAAGTGTTGAAGGTGGTCAAACTATACATTCTGAAATCAATCCAGGAACTCACTCTATCCCGTGAACCCAATCATAACCTACACGTCCTCATTATCCACATCCCTGCTCATCGTATCATCCTCCCCCTAACCCACGCACCAAACCCGCCCTCATCAACGCTCTTGCTAAATGCAATCCAAAACGCCTGTTTTTCACTCACGGGGCTCGCACACCTCTCCACCATCGCTTTCACATTAACTTCCTGCAACCCCTTAATCGCCATGACCTGCTCCACCCACTCTAGATCCACGCCGCCGAAATCGCCATTACCGCCGAGCCACTCGTTCTTCATGCGTAGCATGGTGTCGAAATCAGAGGGTGTAATGGGGGTGATGGCGTCCCAGCCGTGGTCGGGTTTTCCGGATATGACGTTGAGGTTCAGGGTACGGAGGGAGATGGGTGGAACTGCCTCCGAAATATCATCGTCTGAGGGAGAAGACGGCGTCGCGAGGTATTCGCATAGACTTGCCCATTCTGCGCGATCAAATTCCTTGCTGTATGGCAATGCCTTCTTCGTTACACTAATGTGCCGTATGGACGCCCGACTTCTGGGTGTCAGGTCGGAGAGGAAGGGTACGGCGGCTTCGATGCTGGTGTGGAAGGCGAAGGTGTATGTTGAGTAGAGGATTTTGCTGGCTTCGGCGTGGATTTGTTGGTTCAAGGAGAGGAGCGAGGGAACGGTGTAGCGGAGGTGCGATGTGTAGGGCGAGAGGAGGACGCGGTAGGTTGTTGGTGTTGTGGTTGTTAGGAAGGGACCTTTGAGGTTATCAGTATCCAGTCAATAATGTCTTCTCGAGGGGAGCAGTGTCCTAGACTGTCCTTCTAGGTTTACTCCAAGAATGTGTAAACGTACCGGTTCTGATGTGGTATGTACTCCTTCGTCTCCACGTCTTCGGGCCTTGCGACCCTAGCCATGGATCCATGGTCCGTACGCTCAACGTACAAGCATCATTGTTCGTGTCATCTGAGAGGTAGGTATGGAAGTCGGGGATCAAGTTCGCGACTGACGTTCCGTTTCCGGTCGTGGGGGTCGTCGAGGGTAGAAGTAGGTACTCGTATATCATGAGACGGATCTCGAAAGGAAGGCGAAGTAACGGCGAGGCTGGAAGAGCATCGGCTTGGTAGGATGTTGATTCCATGGTGGAAGTTTGCCAGCTGTTGGATTTGGCGCGATGTGAACGGAGAGTGAAAAAGGTGCAAAACGTGTCGGGTCGCTTCCAGATACTGTATGCTCTTCCTTCTTGAAGTACAGTCGTCAGCGTTTCTCAGCTCCCGCACTTGATCGGTGTATCGCTGCAGCCAACAACACGCCTTCCCAATCTTACAGCTGATCAAACCCTCAGCCAGTTAAACGCGACAAGACACTGCACAATCGACAAGACTCAACTCAAAAAGAAAAGACGCAGTCAATCAGCGCACAAAGTCGACGCAACGTGGTTTTGCTTGTGTGCCCGACAGACCATCAAGGTGTTGCGAATTGGACGCTTGAAAACAAACGCGTGCACTCGCCAAAAGATAAATTCCGGCCAGCACCATGATGACCTTGACGCATTCGCCGAGGCAGCTTTGCCGGAAGAGGTAAGATGCCAGATTGCTATCCTTGCAACGGCTTAGTCGTGGATCATGGCGCCGGTAGCGCGCCCGGGCGTAGATAGATGAATGACCGTTCCGAGACCGTTATCGTTGATATTGGCGGCGGTGAGCAATATCGGCAGCGTTGATTTGACATTTGACACATGTGCCGGTGCCTGTATCGCTGTATATGATTATTGATCGCGCTCTTCGTTAATTTCTAATCTCAGTCAGGTACCGAGGTAGTCTTGTCTGGTGATGCAAGCAGCGACGTCTGTACACCACGACAACGCATAACGACATCCCGCAAAATTTCTCGTCATATCGAATGAGAAAAGCCTGCTATCGCGCAAGACCCTGATAACGTGAACGCACGCCGTTCCAAGGCCGGCCGACCCGCGATCACTTGCATAAACTGCTTTCTATCGGCCCTTTCGGAAACGACTCGGAATACATGCCCTGGCCTGAGCGCAGTGTGTCATAGCGCGCGCGATGGTCAGGAGAAGAGAATTTCGTTGCTAAGGGCCCTGCAAAATGTCCAAGTTTGCGTCAATGTTGCATGCGCGAGAAAACATCGGGAGACGTTGGAAGAAAAAAAGTGGAGGGAGGATCGCCGGTTTCTCGGCGGCCAGGAAACGGTACGTACCTGCATTTGCTAGGCCCGACCCTGTGCCAAGCAGTCGACTTAAAGTATCAAGCTACGACAAGCACGACATGAGTTCACCATCAAAGTCAAGAGAAGCGCAGTCTTGCGTCATGTTCAACGATATGCATTGCTCAGCTGTAGCAGCCCAACTGTGAACGCCATCGAGCTACCTAGATTTGCTCTTTGCCCCCCAAGTTCCCTAACCTATACCCTAATACAGTAGTTTCCCTTTCTCAAAGTACCGGAGAAAAGGGAAACAAGCCAACTACAAGCAAAATCCAGAACAAAACAAGAATCTTTTTGAGTTTATCCCTCCCTTGCGGATTTACAAAACGCCTCGCGACTGAGCACGTAAGTTGACCCAATTGGATTGTGACATGGAACCTTGGAAAAAGAGAGGATGCAAGAGGAGAGGAACAAGAGGAGAAGAAAGGAGATTGTCATAATACAAAATCTGAGGCCTATCAAGCGTATCATGGAAACATGCTTTTCGTGCCATCAGCCAACTCAAAGTGGACGTGAGAAAGAAAACAATGACCTCGTGTCGTACCAGCTCATCATGATGATATGACTAGGCCATATTCCTCTTAACAACGCGTCAAGCCTCTCAATCGTCCTGTATTTGTATAAGACGGACCCTAGTGCTGGCCGTAGTTTCCGCCCCAACCTCCGCGGTTGTAGCTGCCGCCGCCATATCCTCCGCCAAAGCCGCCGTAGTTGCCGTAGCCACTCTGCTGCTGGTGGTTGCCGGAGTTCTGGTGACCTAGACCACCGAGACCGCCGTACTGGCTGTTTCCGAGGTGGCTCGGGTAGTTACCGTAGCCTTGCTGGGAGTGTTGGGGACCGCTCTGTCCGGGAGTGCTCTGGTTGGCAGAGCCGGGGCGACCAGGCTGAGCACCAAGAGCCGCTGGGCTGGGTCCGCCACTCTTGTAATCGTTGGAGGGCTTCAGGGCGTCATCGTTGAAACCTTGACTACCCTGCTGTCCGTAGGAGCTCTGGTGGAAGTTTCCTGGTCGGGTAATGGTATCGGGAATGGCGCCGAATGCAGCAGCGCCGGCAGTGGCGCTGGGGTTCTGAGAAGCTCCAGAGGCTGAGCGGCCGTAGTCGCCGAAGCCTGCGCCCATACCGCTACCGCGATCATGCAAAGAGGAAGCGCCGAAGCCGCCTGCATTGGCGGGGGACGACGAGTGCTGGTCGAATGAAGCCTGAGGAGACATGCCGTAGTGAGGCTGATTGTACATGCCACCCTTTCCAAACGAACCATAGCCGGCTCCTCCCTGACCATAACCACCGAATTGGTTCACGTAGTTAGCGTAGTAGGGGCTGCCATAGTATGGGTGACTGTATGGGTAGCCTGCGTTGTGCGCGTTGTGCGCGTGCTGGCCTTGAGCGGCATGTCCTTGTTGGCCAGCCATGGCGGCGGGGTTGGGAGTGTTGTGTCCGCTGTTCTGAGCATCGCCGTAACGGCTCTGGGTCTACAATTCTGTCAGTACACGATGCGAGAAGATGTAGAGTTCTGTCTTAGCTGCTGTCCTTACTCTGCCCGTGTCATGTGCCATCTCTGCCCAGAGTTTCTCATTCACATGAGATGGTTCAGATTGGTCGGCATGATGATCGGTTTTGAGTTTGGCGAGCTGTTTCAGACCTTTAGAGAGACCACTTACCTGTGGGATTTGGCTCTGCGAATAAGCAGAGTCAGCAGGTCCAGAGCCAAAGGCACTGCCAGTGCGCTGCTGAGCAGAACCAGCTTCCTGCTGGCTTTGTGCGATGGGTTGACCGTAGCTTCCATAGTAGTTCTGGTATTGCGCGCGTTGTTCGGCAGTGAGGTAGTTGGAGGGGTAACCGTCTGGGGCAGACGAGAAGGCACCAGGCTGGGACGGGGCCTGGCTTTGTTGGCCGGGGTAGTCGTAGTTCTGCGATTGCGAGTGGTTCGACTGCGGGATCTGCTGGCCGAATGGGTCGTATGGCTTCTGCGGTGGGGCGGAGGCCTCTGATTGACCATACCTAGCAAACTGGTTGTATGGCTGGTTCGACTGAGATCCTTGGTTCTGCATAGCCTGGGATGCAAGCGGGTTCGAGGGAGACTGCTGTAGGCCGGGCTGATGTTGGGGCACAGGAGGCAGTCCAGGGGCCTGCTTTGGTGTAGGAGCGGCCTCTTGTTGGGGAGCATCTTGAGATGCTTGGCGGGGAGCGGGAGGAAGAGAAGCCCTGGGCTGCGCGACGGGAGAGTGCTGGGGCGGCTGTGTCCTCGTCTCCGCCTCTTCCCTGTCTTCGTCGACATCTGGATCCGAGCCGTCGCCCAATCCCATGCTACCGAATTGGACTGCTGCCCTGTCCACGGCGCGGTCTCCGGGCATGACCACGGCCTCCTGCTGCTCCATCAACCTCCTCTGGTAGCTTGCGCTTCGGTTCGGGGTTCCAGAAGTCGCCTTGAGTGCGGTCGTTTGGAATCCTCCAATAGCGGGGCGACCGATAGGTGCCTGTGTAGGACCGTTCAAGGGGGTCGCTACAGCACTTCCAACATCCTTCGAGCTTGCGACAGTGCTGAAAGCTGTCTCCGTCTTGGGCGGAATGGACGTATCAGGCAGGTGCTCAACATTCTCTTGCGTAAGTTGATCTCCGGAGGGTGTGAGGGTGACGTCAGGGGCACCATCCACACTCTTGTCCGGCGTCATCTTGGACGTATCTTCGGCGGTGATGGGCGGTGTCTGGACAGCCTCATCTGCAACGGGGGGTATAGGCAGTTCTTCTGCTTGCACGGCGGGCTCTTGGGCAACTTGGTGCGCGGGCGTCTCGTCGGGTACTTGTGAGGGCACTTCGGGGGCAGCAGCGGCGGGCTTCGGAGCTGCCTTGGGGACTGCGGGGACGGGCTTGGGTGCAGCAAACATGCTCGCCCAAGTCTTCTTCGCGGCTGTCATAGTAGCCTCCACGACAGGCTTTATGGCTTCGGGGGTCGCTTCAGGCGCGTGTACGGTCTCGTCGTCCTGTTTGGTCTCCTTGGACTCTTCGGGCACTGTGGGCGTGTCCCATGCAGCGGACTCGGTAGTCGGGACTGATCCAGCAGCCGTACGAGGTCCACCGGCGGCGCCTCCACGACCGCCACGAATTCCACCGCGACCACGATCAGTGCCTCGTCCGCCACGGCCGCCGCGACCGCTGTCAACTCCACGACGGGCTCCGTCGGGCCGGCCACGCAGGCTGGACGCGCCATCGAGGGGGACGTTCTCCTTGGCCTTGGAGCGGGACCTGTCCTTTGCTTTCTTTGGGACTTCTGAGAATTGTGAGACGGCGCCTGCAGTGGTTAGTAATGTAATCACGTGCGTGTAAATCGTGGGTGCAGCCGCTTACCCTCACTGATCTTCTCGATGGTGGTCTGCAGGTCGCCGTCAGATTCTTCGATTGCGAGGACGAGATCGGCGTCGGTCCAGTCGGGGAATAGCTCCTTCAGTGTGGATAGCTGTGACTGGTAGCGCTTCTTAAGCTCGCCCAGTTCGCCCTGGTCTGCCGATGTGTCAATGTTGGAGGACGCGCTGTCGCCGTTGGTCTTTCTGGGGCCCCGGGAGCCGTATGATGCCCTGCCGCCGCGGGCAGAGCTCCTGCCTCGCGCAGGCCGAGTTTGTGCTTCAGACATTGGATGTGTGTGGTGTGTGGGCAAGCCGCGGGGGACTTATTGGGTGTGTGTATGTGTGGGCGGATTGGTGGGCAGGCGAGGTGATGATGTAGAGGGAAGGTAAAGTTGGGGAACAGCTAGAGGAAGCGACCACGTCGGCTTGGCGCTAGAGCTTCCAATGGCTGAGGACGCGGCAGGGTCGCGTTGGCTGGGGCTGGAGCAGGCGGGCGGGTGTGCAGATGCGAGGGGAGGGCTGAAGGGCAATTGATCTACGAATAGCAAGAGTGCCTGTCCCAGCCTGCCGTGATGCGCGCGTTAACCTGTCACGTGCGCTCCCGTCGGGCCTGGTCCACTCTCGTCATCGCCTCACTCCACCACCGACCGATCAGACGCCGCCCCCGACTGCGACACCAACACGCAGCCATGCAGTCTTCCGCAAGCAAACGCGTACTGAGCACCCTCGCCTCCAAGATCCACCCGCAGCTGCCCCTCACCCCGCGCGAGAGCCAGCAGCTCCTCTCGCTGCTGACCAACTCCTTCCGTGCCCACCTCGACCACGCCCACCCCCTCGCGCCTGCCGAGAGCAATCCGAAGAAATCCACGCGAGAGTTGACCATCAGCTATGGCCAGCGCAACCCCTCCGCGAACCGCGCGACGTCCTCGTATGACTCAGCGACGCAGCACATCGACTCCATCTTGACCAACCCGCTGTTTGCGGTCAAACCCCGTCGGAGAGGCTCAAGGTCTGCTGCTAGCGACATACTGAGAGAGCCCATCGTCTGGTTTGTCGATGAGATAGCTGCTGGTTCTGCCACTCTACCAAAGGCAGCCATGTGCCTCGAGCTCCTCGAGAAGACCACGGGCCAACCCTCGTCACTCAAGGATGGCAGATCATCCGCAACTGTACTCGCCGAATGGCTCCGAACCAGCGGCTCGGAAACCTCGAAACAATTCCTCGACATGTCCATCTTGAAGACCGGACGTGGCAGTAAATTCCTAGACAAGCTGGTGGCTCTGTTCGTGGCTGAAGGCGAGACCACGGCGCTCTGGCGCTGGTTCATCCGGCCAAATGAACAACGCGTCAAGGAGACTGGGCTGGACGTGGCACGGATAGCGACCTTCAGACAACAACTACTGGCCAAGATGGTTGTGTTTGCGGCAGACAACAGCTTAACGGGCGGTCTGGCTATGTTCATGCAGGCCTTCCGCCTTGTGGAGAATGCCGGACACGAGGCTGCTTACGACGTCCTAAGATCCGCGGGTGGTCACCTGGTGAACCGGATCATCTCCAATACTGACGAAATGCTCGAATCAGAGTTGTATCAGTCTTTCTTATTGTCAACGCCACGCTGGCTTGGGGAGTGGAGTCCAGCAGTCGAGTCAATGCTCTGGCTACATCACCCTTCGACGCCCAGCACGGGCCCTGGACTTCATTTCGTCCAGAATCCTGCCGGCGCCATCAGATTCGTCGAAGCATCCCGGGGTCGACGGAATTTCCTTGTCCAGCTCTGCCTTGGGACCGCCCGGCAGCTGATGGAACAAGAGAATTTTGCTGAAGCGCAGATCGTGATGCAGTTCACAAAAGATCACTTCGCTGATGTTGTTCTTCCGAAAGAAGCAGTCATTGAGCAGCCAAAGGAAGAATCGAGGAAAGCACGTAGGGAACAGGAAAACCTGCGGTTGTTGGATCGCCTGGTCCTGACATGACCAGTCTCTCTATTCTATCAATTGTAAATAGCCGCGACTGGTTCGCAGGTATTTCTGGGCGGGCAACCCGAAGATTCCATGATTACTTATGTTTGTGTATAGGCCTTATGGTAGTGCACCGGGGTCTGGTCTGGGCGTGCGGGGGAACGTTTACAACGCGTCACATCACGCGAACTCACGATCTCACGATCACAATGATCTACAAACATGCGAAGACATGATGTAATAAATCTCACGATCGATTCATTTCCATGAGCTGATCTAAATAAGTCTCTTGTTGACTTTTGGTATCGCTAAAAACAAAATATCGAAATATGCCGTATCATCGTGATCTCATCGCCCCGCTCTATGCCTTGAGCTCACCACCGTCGGTCTCCTCTGGCCAGACATCGTAGCCGAAGGTGTCCTTCATGTTGACGAAACGAGTGTGTCGTCCATTGGCGACTTCCTCGACGGCGTCAAAGTCGGCCTTGCTCAACTCGGGAATAAGCCAGTTGCTCTCAATGCGCTTGGGAGTGGAGCTCTTGGGCAGAACAACGTAGCCGCGCTGGAGACCCCAAGCAAGCAGAACTTGCGCAAGGTCGTAGCCGCTTCGCTCGGCAACTTCGTTGAGCTTGGGGTTGGTGCGGACCTTCTCACCGGTACTGGGGACCTGGTTCTGGGAGCCGAGCGGCGAGTAGGCGGCGACGAGAATGTCGTTTTCCTGGCAGTACTTGACGAGCTCGGTGTTGGGGAGGAAGGGGTGGACTTCGATCTGGTTGATCATGGGCTTGACCTTGGCGATGCTGAGCAGCTTCTTCAGGCCGGGGATGGTCCAGTTGGAAACTCCGATGGCCTTGGCCTTGCCCGAGTTGTAAATCTCCTCCATGGCGCGCCATGTTGGCTCCGGGTTCTCGGTGAGGTCCTTCTTGATGATGTATTTGCCGTCGGCGCCCAGCTTGGGCATGTGGTTGTCGTCACTCTCCGCGGCAATGGGCCAGTGGACGAGGAACGCGTCGATGTAGTCGACGCCCAGGTTCTTCAGCGAAGACTCAAAACTCCACTTGACCTCCGCGGGCTCGTGCAGGTGGTTCCATACTTTTGTGACGATGAAAAGGTCCTCGCGCTTGACGTTGGTGTTTTCCTTGAGGAAATCGCGGACGGCCTCGCCAACTTCGCCCTCGTTCTGGTAGAACCATGCGCAGTCGAGATGGCGGTAGCCGGTCTTGAGCGCGGTCATTACGGCGGCGTAGGTCTCGCCCGATGCGCCCTCGCTGGCGAAGGTGCCGAATCCGACGGCTGGCATGATGACGCCATTGGAAAGCTTGAACGTCTTCTCGTTCTGGAGGGGAGCCATGTTTGCGGTGTTTGTAATTCTTGAAGTTTGAAAATGTATCTTGAAAATGTAGAGTCAAGATGAAAGTGGTCAAGTAAGTTTTGAGATGATTTATTCAGCGGCAACAGCGCGTGCTGGGACTGTGAAGCTACATATATCCAGCGTAACCTTGGTTGGTCTGAAATCTCTTCGCTCTTTCATCATCGCCCATCTGCTCGGACAGCTCCCAACCACGCTGCCGGCCGTGACCTCAGACCGAGAGATTCCGATCGCAGAAGCATCTCGCAGGCATCGGTCCCATTGCGAAAAAACTCCATAATAGTCCCATCCAACAGTTTCACGTAGACCCTCAGAGTAGGCCGTCAGCAGCAGCGATGACGTCGACGGTGGACTCAGGGTCCACAGCACGGGCCGAGCGCTGCCATTTTGATTGCTGGCGCGGAAGTTTTGCCGACCTGAGCTTCGTACAGGTGAAAATGTGGAACGATGTAGTCCCAATAGTCGTGCGGCTCTGCCGTTGTCAGCCACTCGTTTAAGCAGATCACTAGCTGCCTTCGCCCTAATTCGGCGAGCCGCGGTTACCTCGCCCCACCCATCCTTCGTCACTCCCACATGCTGCTGCAAGTACCGCCGCGACTGTCTGCACGCTGCCTGCACCATCTACACTCTGCTACACTCGCTTCTACTGATTCCCACATGTCGCATACTTGGTGTATGCACGCCAACCGCCTTTGACAGGCGGTGTACCGTGCCTTATCTTCCGGCCGCGCTCTGCCTCCGGTCAAATGAGGCTCTGCGCTAAGCTTCCACGGCTTCGGCCAAGGGTATACAGCGCGCATTCCAGGTGTTGTGGCGACTCACAGCACTACGCTGCTATCGGTCCCCAGTTTTCGGCGATAATACGGCGGTGACGGTATCCAGTTCTCATTCTCTGGTTCAGCAAACTTCTCCACTAGTGCTGCTATGCACGGCCACTACAGCAGTGTAATGATGTCGCGCTGTGGGTACAGAGGTACTTGTTGAACGCTCACAGTGCCAGAACGTGGTTGGTGTCACCGGCCTGAATCGGGATAGCGAAAAGCTCCTGCGAAACTTTCCAGAAGAGATTGGCGAATGATGATGGCATCTGGGGTTCATGGACGTCGCTGCCTGTCACTGTGACGAGTGATGTGATATATAGCCCCTCCCCCAGAGGACCCTGAGACTGCTCTTTCATCATCACAACTCCACATCTTCAGCTTCACATTCAGCTTCTGAGAAGACTGACACTACTACTTTCTTCACTTGATACCCCATTCTTATCCCAACTTCAACCACCATCATCATGTCTCCCTCCGCTGTTGAGAACGAGGCTCAGACTACCTCCAACAAGGCTCCTGAGCTTCCCATCCCAGCTGACCCCCAACAAGATGGCACCGACAACACCGTCGAGGTCCCAGCAACCCGAAGTGCCATGGCCGACACCACTGGCTACATGCACAACCTCTCCCTCTCGCCTTCCATGAAGGAGAGGAGAGGATCTCGCAACTCCTTCGGTACCTCACTGCCCATCCCCCGTTCCAAGAGGCAGTCGAGGCTCTCGTCTGTTCACTACCCCGATGGCCGTGGTGCCGCTGTCCGCCCTGGCATGCCCCCGATCCAGCCATCTCGCGACATCATCGCTGCCCAGCTTCAAGATCTCGCTGGCGAGAAGGTCCGCGCCGCCAAGGACATGGCATTCGTCTTCGACATTGACGGTGTCCTCGTCCACGGTGACCGTCTGATCCCCGAGGGACAGCGCGTCCTCGAGATCCTGAACGGAGACAACGAGCTCGGCATCAAGATCCCCCACATCTTCCTTACCAACGGTTCCGGTAAGCCCGAGCAGGCTCGTGTCGACCAGCTGTCCAAGATCCTCCACAACCCCATCTCGACCGAGCAGTTCATCCAGTCGCACACTCCCATGCGTGCCTTGGCCGAATACTACAAGACCGTCCTCGTTGTCGGTGGTGAGGGCTACAAGTGCCGTGAGGTTGCCGAGCAATACGGCTTCCAAGACATTGTCGTCCCCAACGACATCATCGCCTGGGACCCCACCATCGCCCCCTACCGTGTCTTCACCGACGAGGAGCGCAAGACTTCCCGCCCCCGCGACTTCAGCAAGGTCAACATCGAGGCCATCATGGTCTTCTCCGACAGCCGTGACTACGCCACCGACATCCAGATCATCATGGACCTCCTCCAGTCCGAGAACGGCAAGTTCGGTACCCGCGCCAAGGACCCCGTCTCCCAGCGCATCCCCATCTACTTCTCCCAGGGCGACATGCTCTGCCCCACCGAGCACCCCTTCCCCCGCATGTCCCAGGGTGCCTTCCGCATTGGTCTCGAGGCCATGTACAAGTCGCTCACCGGCGTCGAACTCGAGCGTGTCGTCTACGGCAAGCCCGAACTGGCTACCTACAAGTACGCCGACGAGGTCATCGCCTCCTGGATGGAGACCATCCACAACGACGAGAAGCTGCCCGCCAACATCTACATGATTGGTGACAACCCCGCTTCCGACATCGTCGGTGGTAACATGTACGGCTGGAACACTTGCCTTGTCCGCACTGGTGTCTTCCAGGGCGGTGACAACGACGAGCAGAACCCTGCTTCCTTCGGTGTCTTCAAGAACGTCTTCGAGGCTGTTACCACCGCTATGAAGAAGGAGCTTGGCGAGGACTTCAAGTTCAAGTTTGACGACAAGATGAACCCTGTCAACCTTGAGGGTGGCCAGTCTGCCATTGCTTAAGTGGGTTGATGGATTAACGACGATGCAGCAGAGGGTGTTGTAGTCGTCTGTTTGTAAATAAGCATTTTCCTGGCGTTTCTTCTTCTTTTTTTCGGGATTATATCCTTGCATAGCGCCGCTTGCAAATCACCTTTATAGATCAAACGAGTTTACTATACAACTGGGTCTACGGATTCTGGGTTTTCGGTTTCTTATATAGATTACGATGAATTTTAAAAGTCTTCTACCTCTTACACAATCTTCACATCTCCTGCTTCTCATGTGTCGAACTTGCTGCTCTCCAGTACAGTCTTCCGTCAATTAGGTAACGATGATCGCTCTTATCGAGCCAAGTCTGTCTTGACTGGTGAGCTCATATCTGCTTAACACCTCATACCCGAAGAGAAGACTACTCATCATCCTCATCCCCAAACCCTACCAACGCCCTCCTCAGCCTAACCTCCCTCTCCACCCCATCAACCTCCCACGTAGCCTTACACTCATACCGCCCCTCAAGCCTAATCCAAACATCCCTCAGCAAATACCTCGCAAGCGTCCTACTCTGATAAAGCACGAACTTCTCATTCGTAGGACTGATCTCATCGTTGTCCTCTTTTATCTCCTTCTTCTGCGGACGAGGACTGGCTAAGACAATCTTTCGGGGTGATGTGGCGGGCTGAGCCGGGTCGGATGATAGTTGTAAGCATGGGTCGTCGGTGCCAATAGGTACAAAAGTATCCCAAGCCGGTACGCCATCGACGATTGGAGTCGAGCCTGCTACAGGTGAAGCATAAGTGTCGTACCACAGGCCTGTTGCGCCGATCACGGCTTTGACATAGAGGGTCCAGGAGAGTGAGAAGCCTAGGTTGCGGTAGGAGCCTGCCTGTTGTATCTGTTAGTCTTCTCCTTATTCTCGTTGTAGTTGGTCGTAGTTGTCACACTGTTTCAACATGGATGTGTGTAGGGCGGACTTACAATGACGGTATTCCCCATCCTCCTAATCACAAAGATACTGCCTGCTTTGTTCCTCTCCACCTCCCGTCTATACACGAACTCTTCCACTCGTGGATCTAGGAACGCTTCTATACACTCCTTGTTTGTGTGACTAAGGATCGTGGCGATGGCGTCGCTGAGACGCGGGTACGCGGCTCCAACGAGCGGGTTCTGGGTATGGAAATATGCTTCTAGATCGATGACGTGGGGAGCGCGGACGGAATCTCTGCTCTGGTCGTAGTGGAAGTACTGGGAGCCGGGCAGGAAGACAGAGGTCATGACTTTGTCGCAAATGTCGCCGGCAGGATTGGAGTAGTATGTGTTCTGCAGTTCGTCTAGTTTGTCTCGCAGAGCTTCTTCTTCGCGGAGGAGGGCATCGGAAGCGCGTTTTGTGGGGGAGGAGGGGAGGAGCGATGTAAGTGTTTCGCTGAAGCGGGATATGGTGCTGGTGTTGGTCGGTTTTTGCGGACTGCGTTGGCTGGGGTCCCTGAAGGTCGCTTTGAAAGTGGAGGAGATGTGGGCAGCGTCTAGCTCAGCCCATTCATCGTCGTCGGGCTCCCAGAGGGGTTTACCCTTGAATGGTGAGAGGTCGCGTAGACTAGTTGGCATGGTGTTAGCGATTTCGGGTCGTTGTGTGCGAGGTTGTACGGGGAGGTGTGGACTAGAAGAGAAAGGCGAGTTGAGGGAGAGTGTCGAGCTGCTTGGGGAGCTATCGAAGTCTTCTTGCGCAAACAGTGGTGCGATTTCGGAGCCGTGCCTCGTTTGCGCCTCTCCGACGTCGAGATCAGATGATGGAAGCGGTGATTTTGCGGCTTGCTTTGGAATCTGGTCCGCCCAACTGATTGTCCGAATGCGTCTTGAGGTAGGTCGTGGCGATAGCGCTTTCGGTGACGTCGGAGCGGTCTTGCTCATCTTAGTGGCCTTGTATTTTCGATGCTCAAAGTCATTGCCTTTTGCACTGATGCTGTCTTGACTACGGGCGCGTAACAACGCATTTCCACCAGCGATTTGGGAAGGCGAGCCAGAGTGAAAGATCGATGTTAGTCCAGGAAGCATGTTCATAGAACTCCCCACCACACAGTACGAGGAGCCTGACGATGACAGTTCGGTCGAGTCTACAGCTACTGACTGGTGGTACTTAGCTCCATCTTCTCTACGGTCTGCCGTGCTACGACGAAACAAAGAGTCGAAGAAGCCTCCACTTTGGCTATTGCTCATCGAGCGCGGTATAGTTGTCCTTGAAGATGATCTCGAATACCCAAAGAGACCTGATCCGAAGGTGGACTTTGGCGAGCTGGGAGAGTTTGCCGTTAATGTTGATGATTGCGGACTTCCAGGTACCTTAACGCGTGGGTATTGCAAGTCTAGCGGTTTGGGCGGAATCATGCAAGCCTGTGCTGTTACAGGTGGGGATGGTACAGGTGTGAAGGTCTTCGTGTGCTGTAACGTGGGTTGTATAGGAGCCTTCGGGCCTGACCTTGCGAGTAGATCACGTAGCCTTTCTGCTGCGTCGCTACCCTGCATGATGGCGATCGAAGGGTACGGAGATAGCCAGAAGCTGAGCGAGTTAGTTGTGTTGATGGTGGAGCGTTTGGTGTACTCGTAGGGACAAGGGGAATGAGAAAGAGCAACAGTGAGAGTCAATGCTCAATTGGGCCTCCGTCACAAGAGCGACGGTAGGACGTAGAGGATTCACACTCGCTTCAACCATGTCTCTTGCGACTCCAGTGAATGGCCTCACAGAAATGGCAGTCAAGGCACTAGGGCATCACAGCAAGCTAGTACCGTTGCAGTGACGAAAGTAAGCGAGACGAGAAGTGCTCTGACGTCTACTACAAAAATCACACAGCCGTGAGTATAGAGTTGCTCAACCTAATAGCATGTAAGCATATGCTGGTAAGACTGGCAGGTAGTTCCCTCAATGTCGTTCCGTAGTATTGCGTGTCATCTAAAGTGGACATCAAGTGAATGATAACGAAAGCATGCCGAGTGGCTCGAGTGTCAGTAAGACCATAACCCGGTCGAACGCTCACAAAGCGTGCCTGTAATCGAGTCAGTCCCGTTCAGCAACTCCAAGATTCCAGTCAAGCCCCGCAAGTAGCCGCCACATATATCACATCCATCCACGCGATGCTCGTTGGGAGTTGGTAGATTTTCGATTCATTCAGGGAGAGAACCCAGACTCTTGATATGTCGTCGTAATCGTAGGTCTCCACAGATCCATCATCTCCATCCCCCTCCTTCGCAGCGCTGCAAGAGCAACTACCACGCCATCATATTGTCCATACTCGTGAAGTCCGTATAGATGCCCATAGCTTTCGCAAAGAACTCCGGTAACCGAATAGAAAATGCCGCTTTCCCTTTTCCCCCGAGAGTTTGCTTGCGCTTATCGCAGACGCCTGGCCTCACGCTCGGACTCGAGCAGGCAGAGAATGTCGTTCTCGCGGACTGTGATGTCTCCGTTAGTATGCGGGGGTCTCGTTCAGCTGGCAGGTAGAGCGTGCGTACCTGGGCCCTTGACGTTGCGGATGATGGAACGGGTCTGGTCGTTCATGAACTCGACGCGGCATTGGGTGACACCACCACGGGAGCCTGTTGTTATCCGTCAGCCTGCCATTCTCTCACGTTGTGCATCCCCCAACTGTTGTATGCGCTCGTCCCGCAGAAAAGTTCGGGGTGTTCGGAAAGTTCGCGTACCGGTTCGGCCAAGGACACGGGTGACCTTGACGAGGTTGACGGGGGCCTTAGCAGAGTCCATTTTGTGCGGTTGTGAATTTCGACGGGAGTCGGTCGTTCGGTGTGCGGAAGAGCTGGGTTGGGCGTTCGGAGATGGAGTTGTCGCTGGCGATGCGTGAGAGCTGGTGTGAACCGTGGGCAATTTTGCAAAGTGCGCTAGCTAGGCGAGCAGGGGTATGGCGCGCTAGTGCCCCGTCCATTTACTTGGGCGTGCAGGCAACACCACCAACACCCAGAGCGTCACGACTTAAGTAATTCATCCAAAATCTTGGAAAACTGCGGAGTTATGAAAGAGCTATGTTCTACGGTGTGACTTCCAAAGATTCGATCGTCGCAACACCAAGTGCCCACGCAATCATCACACACACCTCACAATGCACCAAGGACAGCAGTACTCAACGACATTTTTCATTCTATCTATCTAGTAAAGAAGCGCCAAATCGCTCAGAGGGGTATAAAGCGCCTTCCAACGCCTTGGGAAGTACCCGACCCTCCGTAGCTCTTCCAGCCATGCCCACCCACGTCCGAACTAGTCATACCGAGGATCGGCTTCCGTGTAAACAAGCTTGCTAAATCTCAAATCCCTGAATGAAGGTGTGGAAGGATCTGAAGCAAGCCATCTCATCAGCTGTCACCTACATGGCCGCAAACCTTCTCCTCAGCGGCGGAGGCGTAAACTGCGAACCGGGCTTCCTCGTGGCCTTCACAATCTTCGTAACAGTATGCTTGACCGTGTCACAATCGACTTCGGTCTCGGTCGCAGTGGTAGTCGAAGTGAAGACGTTTGCAACCTTAGTAACAATGGAAGGCTTGGGGGCGACGGTGAAAGGCTGGGAGGTCACGACAGACGGCTCATGAGCCGGACCATAGGTGAAAGGCTCAGGGGCCGCAGCACGGCGGCCAATCGGAGGAATCTGCCATATATCATGGCAGTAGCCGAAGGAAGGGAGACAACCGGGGTTGCAGTGAGCGGCTGTGTCGCCGCAGTAGCCGTAGGGGCTGCAGCAGGGGCCTTTCGGAGAGCCGTTGCAGGTGAAGCCAGTTGTGCCGCCGCCTGTCAGAATGTGGTTAGTGAGGTGTTCAGGATGAGGTAGGCGGGTGAAAGACTTACATTGACCATTTGGAGAGATGATCATGCCATTGGGAGCGATGATAGGAGGCTCAACGACAGGAGGCTGGACAACCGGTGCAGGAATGGCCTGGTGGACGGAACCAGCAGCCTTTGGTTCCTTGCCAAAGAATGTCTGGACTCCTGGGCCGTCGGTACCTGTGATTGATCATCAGCCACTATCCAAGAGAAGGACAAAACGTGTTAGTAAACTTACAAGTCTCGACAAAGATATCAGCACCAGCCCAGCACATGAGGCTTGGCTCATTCGCGAACCCGCCTGGGCTAAGATAAGTGTTCACACACTTCTCCTCATTGCAGTACGCAGTGGGGCAGGTTTTCTTGTTGGGTACTGGGTTGATGTAGAGTTTCACACCACCTCGAATGAGTGCTGAGAATACCGTTAGTCCACATGTCCTCTGTCCATCAAGGGGAAATACATACGACAATACTTCGGGTTTGCCGGCCCAGCCTTCAAGTCACAATCCACAGCACTCAGGTCATACCACATCTTCCCCTTGGATTCCTCAAGATTATACTCGACCTGAATGATGCCTGCAGGCCCAGGAACATAGTAATCCAGATCCCTGATCTTCAACGAGAGACCGCCGCCGAATCTCTCCGTGTCGACCATGGGGTGAATGACGGAGCCGCCGTTGCCGGGTACCATGCTGCGGAAGGAGTCGCCGCCATCGATGTGCGAGGCTGGGGGGCCGACGGCCCAGAAGTAGACGTTGTACGGGCAGTGGTTGATGAATTTGACGTATTTGGCTGACGTCCCGAGGAAGGTGACGCTCAGGAGCGTCGCGAGGATGAAGAGGGTAAACTTCATGGTTGGATTGTTTCGTGGATGAGATAAGGTGGGATGAAATAAGGTAGGAGGCTCTGAGAAGAGCAAAGTGGGAGTAAATCCCAATAGGCTTGAGGATGAACGAGATGAGAACTTTACAGGAAAGAGGAAAGGGACATGTGTGGTTTTATGAAAGAACGATTCACCCTTGTTTTCTGGTCATCTTCTTCGTTGGGCGCTTCTCAGGGTCTCATGGTAATGAAGGGGCGTTGGGGGAGCATCCATTACGGCTTCACGAAGTGCTGGAGGTGTGTTGATCGGGCTTCTCCGGAGGGGTAGGAACGAACACCACGTGCGATCACTATTGCTTGGGTATCGTATGGAGTCCTAGACACTTCCTGCTCGCAATCGAACAGCCAGTTTCGAAGTAAACAATCTCATCTCTTCGCATGCTCTTCTGAGTGTGGAACACAGTATCTTTAATCTTATTCTCTCACGCAGGCAGAGAGCATGTTGCCGTCTGGATGGTATGTTGGAAGTTGCAGTCGCGGAACAGACACCGTTGTCGTTGGGACAATGTACTGGTAATGTGCGTTCAACAGGGCTCGCTGGTAGTCCCTGGTGCCAAACTACAAAGGCCGCTTCAGCACAACGGGAAAACCCCCATACAAGGAGGAACACCGATCAGGTATACTACATTCTACGTCAGCATAAAATCAGATGTTTGTACAATCCTAAGAGCAAGGTAAAATTTTGGGACAGTTTCTTCAAACCAACGCCATTTCAATTTTTTCGATGTCTTCCTATCTATTGGGTATCATGTGTTGCTGCCAAAACAATTTGAGGTGGCATCTCATACAAGGAAGAAACTAGACAGGCCTGAAGCCTAAATTAGGACGATAATGAGCAAAAGAGAAGACCCAAGGTCAATGTAGACCTCGCAATATTTTTTCCCCTTGAATGGAATGAGGAAAACGTGCTTGCAATACTGATAATCAAGCCCCAATTTCGTCAACTCCGTCGCAATGCCGTACCGTGTAAATGCATACTTGAATGAAAGAAATAAGACGGTACAAATAATAATAATCAAGCTTGCGGAATCCTGGAGCGGTCGCCACCCTTGGCGATCCATTCCTCCTTGATAAGCTTGTCCTGCTCCAAGTGCATGAGCTTGTAGGCTGTGCGGATCGTTCCGTCGCTGACCTCGACAGCCAAACCGATCTCCTTTGGCGATTTGGGCTGACCCATGAGGTGGGAGACGAGGTAGAGACAGGCGCC